AAATAAGGCAAACCAAAGGCACCCTGAGTCTAAACTGACACAGATGTGACTCCTGCTCTAGAACCCATCTGTCTATTTGGTGAAGGGGAAACAGTCAAGGACAAGGCCCAGGGGATCTGCTTGCCGAGAGCTCAGCAGTCATCAAAGACTGAGTGTTGGGCCGGGACAACAGAAGGTGGCCATGGTGAAGCTTCCTGCCTTAGTCATTTATTCACACAGACATGCCAGTAAGGTGGGACATCTTAAATTCTCTCCCTGAGTGTGAGCTGCAGGTGGGAGGCCCACGGGATGGGGAGAGAGTGGTGAGGGACCCACCCAAGGCTGTCATCATGAGGAACTTGAACAGATCTCAAGTTTAAAGCCCTGAATTTTGAGCCAGACAACTGTGAAAATGGATACTATGCAAAGATATTATGCTGTAATCCCAGCGCTTTGGGAGGCTGAGGCAGGAGCCTGGTAGGTGTGCAGTCAGCCTGCGTCACATAGTGAGAGCCTTTCTCAAAATAGCCCAAACCAAGAAGGAGTGTTGTATGGGCCTGGAGGGTACAAAATACCTCGTGCTCTTCTGCCAGCCCATGTGAACTGGGGGGAGGGGGATGGAGGGACCTTTCTGTGACTGTCTTTAGCTTCTGAAGTTGCTAGTTGCATCTAGAAAATTGTCAAGAACTGTCAAACTGTGGGTGTCTTAGCCCTTAGTTAGTAAAATAGCTCCAAAGAGACAGGAAACATGCAAACCTCTACCAGAAGGAGAAGAAACCATTTCAACTAAATGACTCAGACTTGGAAAACAGGCTGCTTCACACTTCACTTTTGTGCAGCAAAAGAAACTAAAAAAAAGAAAATTCTCAAGCTGAATGGGAAGATGGGAATTCAGTCAGCCTACCCCTGGGAAAATGTTTATGATGAGATGCAAGAAAGTACTGCTTGTCACACCCTGGGCAACACTATACTGCCTCACATCTCCGCTTGCCAAGTTCATACAGCAAAAGCTAAGCCCATGGAAACATCCCCTGTCTCTACCAGACTGAGCCAGGAAGGTGAGTATTGATGCAGAGCAAGAATTCATTCCAGAGAAATGCCAAGAGTTTGCACTTGCATTTACTAGGTCTCCCTCCTTGTTGGGTTGTTGGGAGAATGGGAAATGATCACTCTCATAATATTTTAGTCTGGAGCTGGGCACTCCAAAATACCTACTTCACACTCAGAACTTCTCTTCAAGGGAGGTAGGAAGTTCCCATAGCATGGGAGTTGAAAACTGAATGGAACAAATGGACCTTTTAAGAACTCCACAGAGGAGGGTCTAGAAGAAGATAGGCCGGCAGGTAATTATGATATATGACCCACAGTAAATACGGTGCATACTAAATGGTATGAAAATGTATTGGGGCCTGTTTCTGGAGAAGCTTCAGGGCTCCAGGAGGGAGAACCATGAAGGGTGAAAGGGCCATCTACTTGTATTAAGCCTCTGCCTTGAAGGAGGAGGTCCTGCCAAGGCCACGGTTGTCATTCTGCTGTCCTCATGATGGATGGGGATTCATGAACAATTAAATTGAACCTCTGCCATTACGATCGATTGTGGGGGCAGATTTCTCAATAGGAGCCAGGGGCCACAGTGTGGGTCGCTGGTCACACTGACGTGAGGATGATGGCCTTTCCTAGGCTTCCCATGAGTCTTGCCATACACCCACCTGCCCCAGGCCCAGGATCGAGCTGGAGGTAAAGGACGAGGAAGTGAGGATTGAATTAAGTCACCACAGATCTAAGCCAGATGTGTCTAGCTCCTTTTCACCCCCTCAGTTCCAAAGCTTTAGAGGTCATTGAGGTGAAATGAGACGGACAGGGAAGTTTCAAATGTAGCTCTTATCACCTTGCTTTTAGAGTCTGAGGAAGCCCTCACTCCAAACCTTGTCTACAAAATAAGGAGAATGAAGCCTGCCCCATAAGGGTTCTTGGGCTTTGTTTTAATAATACATAATTTCTGTCCCACTAAGCTTGCCATTTTGAAGTGATTTCAATGATTCTTAGTGCATTTCCAGAGTTGCACAACCATAATCTCTGTCTGATTCTAGATTATTCCCATTACTTCCAAAAGACACCCATTGTCATCGGTGGTCACTCCCCACCCCTCCATCCTCCAAGACTCCAGCAATTTCACATTCACGTTTAGTCTCTGTGGACTTATCTATCCCAGACATTTCACATAAAGGACTCATGCAATATGTATTCTTTTGTGCCTGGATTATTTTTCTTCTCTCTCCCTTTCTTTTTCTCTCCCTTTCTTTCTTTCTTTCTTTCTTTCTTTCTTTCTTTCTTTCTTTCTTTCTTCCTTCCTTCCTTCCTTCCTTCCTTCCTTCCTTCCTTCCTTCCTTTCTTTCTTTCTTTCTTTCTTTCCTCTCTTTGAAATAGGGTCTTGTGTAACCCCTGCTGGCCCCAAAGTCAAGGCTGAGGATGTTCATCCACTCTTAACCCTCTTGCATCCGTCTTCTGAGTGTTGGTGTGCCCCACCATGCTGGGGTATTGGCTTCTTTTACTTGGCAGAATGCCTACAATGTTTCTACATTTCTCCAGTGTACCTCAGTGCTTCATTCCTTTCTATTGCTGAGTAATATTTACCAGATGATGGAGCCATGTTCATCAGTTGGCATATCTGATGAAGAAAACTTACAACACGATAATTTGAAAGACAAACGACACAACTAAAATTTCATAAAATCTTCCACACTGTTAAAAAATACCAGCAAGATGTTTTAATATACATTTCTCCAAAGAAAATTTATAGATGCCCATGGGCTCATTGGTTACAGATACAAGTACCTTATCATATATTTAACTTTATCTCTCTATAATGTTAGCTCTTTTCATGTTCATAAGGGTGTCCTTTTGTAAACAAATTGGAAACTTTTGGTAAAGTCCAATTACTCATTTTCACTTGTGTCTTAGACTTTTGATGTTAAATGTAAGAAGCCCTTACTTACATCAACATTATAAAGATTTATCTTTCTCCTTTCATGGTTTTTATATAACAACTTTCTTATGCATAGGCTTATATTTCATTTTGAACTTTTATCTGTTGTCTGAAGTAAGGGTATGCTGTGTGTGTGTGTGTGTGTGTGTGTGTGTGTGTGTGTCTTTGCTCAGATGCCATCTATCTACTTTATTTATTTATTTAGATACAGGGTCTTTAATTAGCCCAAAACTCCTAGTAGGCTAGGCTGGCCAGCCAGTGAGTTTGAGATGTGCCTGGCCCTGTTTTTCCAGTCTGGTATTATAAAGACATATTCTCATGCCTTGCTTCCCCATGGGTTTTGGTGACTGAACTCAGGTCTTCAGGCTCACAAGGTTGGTTTGCCTACTGCTTATCCTTCTAGCCTCACCACCTCAAACTCTTAGTGATTTTCAAAGTAGAGGCATTTATCTTTGGTATTAAGACCTATGACTATGTATCTACTCATGTGGAGGGGCCAGGTTTGGATGAAAATGTCCTCTCAGTAATGTTGGATACTGTTCATGCATGGTGTCTCCAGTAAACACACACATCACCCCCACCACACACACACACCACATACATATACATCACACACACACACCACATACATACATATACACACTACACCACACACAGACATACCACACACAGGCATCACACACACACACACCACATACATATACATCACACACACACACCACATACATACATATACACACTACACCACACACAGACATACCACACACAGGCATCACACACACACACATACACACACACACATACACACACACACACACACACTCCTTAGAAACTCCTTGGTTGGTACAAGTTTCAATGAACTCAATACGAACGATAGCATTGCTCAGTTTAATTACTGTGACATTGAAGTCAATACACACCCACCCACTTGATATTCCTGATGTATGACCTAAAAGGCACAGTGCACAGTGGGCCCCAAATTTGGCCTCTGTTACTGGACTGAAAACCTCCATTGACTTGGGTTGGCAGCCTGTAACACTAATTGAGGACAGAGTTTGGCCCCGTGGGTTTTATATAGAACATTTTCTTTATTTCTTGATTTCATGGGTGTGTGTTGTGGGCTGGGGATTATTTTTATGTTTTTCCACTTCCTGATTAGTTTTAGGACTTGTTTATTTGGAGACTGCTTTAATAAATTTGCACAGCAGGGTGAGGCAGTCACAGGGTTGGGATATTTAACCAGGACCTGCTGTCTTCTCAGTTTGGTTTTTGGTGTTTAACTTCAGGGCACAGTCACTCCATCAGTGTCAAATCCCTGCCAAAGATCACCTAGCCTAGACACACCCTGGTGGCTTAACCGGAGGGCAGGGCTCTGCTCCCAAATAACCCTGTATAATGGCTACCATGACACAGCATCGTTGCACTTTGAAAGTGTAGCTGAATGCTAAGGGTAGTTTCCTGAAGGTGGTGACCTGGTCACTCACTGGCATGGTTTTCATGTGTGGGAAGCTCCACTAACAAAAATTCCTAGGCGTGTACATATGCTGAAAGGAGTGACCAAGGCAAGGCCCTGTGCACAATGAGATTCACGATGGTGTGTTTCTATAGGTGGAACAGTTACGGGTAAATGCAGGTTATAGCACTAATTGTAGAGTTAGATTGCTTGGAAAATACAGCTGAGGTGTTAGGGAGACTGAGTGGATAAGAGCACATTCTGCTCTTCCAGATGACCTGAGTTTGGATACCTGCAAATATGTTACACAGCACACAACCCCCTATGACTCCAGCTCCAGAGGATCCGATGCCCTCTTCTAGTCTCTGTGGGTGCACACACACACATACACACACACACACACACACACACACACACACACAGAGAGAGAGAGAGAGAGAGAGAGAGAGAGGAAAAGAAAAATTGTAAACTTAGTGTTATATTATTGATCTCTCTCTGTCTCTCCATCTCTCTGTCTCTGTGTCTGTCTGTCTGTCTGTCTGTCTGTCTGTCTGTCTGTCTGTCTCTCTCTCTCGTTGTCAGAGTCTCCAAGAAGAACTGACTTTCAAATTGAGACCTGAGGCACTAATTAACCAGCCATAGGTAGATTACCTTTGCCCACTGAAGGATGCATCTTTGGCTTTGAGGATCAAAGGGGAAGCTGCCAGCCCTGTCAAGGCATTAGGGTTATTTGAAGAGTAGAGGGAGCCTCACGGTAAGTGCCCATTCTCAGTTCTTCTGTTTTGTGGGGAAACTGTGGGTGAGATGGACAAGAGTCTGTCAGACAGGAGGCTTTTGTGTAAACATAAACTTACAGAACGCCTTAATCCAGGAAAATATGGACTGCCTTTGCATACTTCGGTGTGTGACCCTATATGTGCCCATGTGCATACATGTATGTGATGTGTGTGAATGCTAGGGGTCAGCCTCTGGTACTGTTCATTGTGACATTGTCTACTTTGGTTTTTGAGGCAGGGTCTTTCATGGTCTGGATTCTCCAACTAGACTAGGCTAGCCAGCTAGTGGGCTCCACGGATCTGCCTATGTCATGGTTGGTTTTCTGTCAGCTTGACACAGCTGACGTCATTTGAGAAGAGGGAACCTGGTTTGAGGAAATGCCCCCATCAGGTTGGCCTGTGTACAAGCCTGTGGGGTATTTTCTTATATTGATGATTAATACTGGATGACTCAGCACCCTGTGGGTGGTGCTACCACTGACTTGGTGGTCGTGAGGTATATAAGAAAGTAGACTGAGCAAGCTAGGAGGAGCAAGCCAGTGAGTAGCATCCCTCCATGGCTCTGCTTCAGCTCCTGACCTGACTTCCCTCTGTAAACTATACTGTGCGAAGCCCTTTCCTCCCCAACTTGCTTGTGCTCAGAGTGTGGAATCAATGGACAACAGAGCTGGGAAATAGTAAGCTGCACTGTTGCCTGCCCTGCTTTTCCATGTGGGGACAAAACTCAGGTCCCTGCACTTCCAAGGCAAGAGCTTACAGGACTGAGTCATCGTCTCTGCTCCCTGGGGTACTGCGTTTGTTGAGGCTGGCTGGGAGAAAGAAAAACAAATCACTTTGACAACCATTTTTTGAGAGAGCCAGGGTGACATTCTTCTTCACTGAGTTCCTGTATCTGCCCTCAAAATGAACCCCAGGAGCCCAGTCTTGTTTTGGTGAAGTTGGTTGGCACTGAATTTTATTTTTTAGTGTGAGTCTGTATGTGTATGTGTGCGGGTATGTGCATAACCATGACATACTCATTCAGGTCAGGGGACAACTTCAGTGGAAGAGCAAACTCAGGGGTTCAGGTTTGGCAGAAAGCAGCTTTACCCACTGAGCCATCTCGTCTACCTGGAGACTTAATGTTTAGGGAGTAAAGAAAGAACTAGACTAGAATGGAGAGGGCGGAGCCACACATACAGGGAATAACTTCACAAAGGCAGAAAGTGGAGAGAGGTGGGCACTTCCAAGCAGAGCGACCATGGGGCATAGAGCTAGGGGGGCGATAGCATGCAGTGATAGCTTGTTTAATTGAGGACGCGTTGCCGCTATCAGCCGTGTAGAGCCAGCCTGCCAGAGCCGCACAGTGGAACTTATTTGAAGAGGCTATTGTAAAAGCCTCTGAGCCAGTTAATTACCAGTTTTTGTTATGTCAGGAAGTCCTCGAGTTTAAGCAGAAAGAAGCCATTCATGAGTATGTTCCGGGTCTGTAGTTTAATGGGACAAGTAAAAAAAAAATTAAAAATTGATAAAATGATTTAGTTCACGGGAGGATTGAAAATCCTCGCAAGAAAAGCTGAAATTACATATTGTGCTCTATCCTCTCCTAGAGATCCATTGAAGTAGCCAAAGACTTAATTGGACTAATGACCCATTGCTGTTATGCATAAAACCCCAGTGCCCATAGAGAAGTGATGAGGCTGTGGAAATGGCCTGTAAATACGAACCCAGTGAGCATGATGACCCAAACCAGTTTTCTGTGGCGCATGACCAAATGTACAAAGAATAAAGGATGGCTGCTGCATGTGCAGGCTGCAGGAAGCCTCCTGTGACCAGGTTGCAGTCTGTGAAGTGATCCGAGGGCTGAACATATGGGAAGATTGTATATATTAAAAAAAAGATCAGTGGTTTTAACCAGAGCTCAATTTAGGAAGATTTGGAAGGTGCAGGTAACAGGAAGTTCAGAGCCAGGGAGCAATTTTTCAAAGGCACGTGACACAGATGCATCAGTTAGTGAATGCAATTGTATGAACGGAAGCTGCTTAAGACAGCAGGGAACTAGCTATGGAAGCCGATTTTGTGTCTAGAGTTCCCTTTTTGCTCTCTCAAGTCTCTGCTGGGCCTGTCTGAAATTCCCAGAGCTGATCTCTGGGCTGGTGGTTGGCACAAACACCATACTCTGAGGATCCTGATGCTGGCACTCTCACCACCTTCTTGTCTACCAAGTGGAGATAACACCCCCTCCACAGGAGTGTGCCGGCACAGACGGTAAGGGGTCTGCAAGGAGCAGGTTGCCTGGCAGGGTGGCCATGGGAAGAGCGGCCCACACGGCAGGGCAGCCATGGGTAGAGCCTTCTGAGACGTTGCTGCAGAGGTAGCCTTAGGCTTTTAAGTTTGGATCACAGAGATCTGCCTGCTGCCGCCTCCTGAGTGCTGGGATTAAAGGTGAGAGCCACCATGCCAGGCAATATTTTAATATTAATGATTATGACGGGATAACTGGTAAGGTCTACCAGCGAACAAATGGGTTTCAAACGACTTGCCCAAGAGTTGGATTTCTATCTTGCTTTGTTCCCACAGTTGCCTTTTCTTTGTCAGGTATGAGGTAGAACAGCTTCCAATGGGGCCGTTTTGTGGCCCAAGAAAGGGTTTTGCATTAATGGCTAGAGTTTCTGAGGAGTGGATGGCATTTATACAGACTGTTGACGGTCCCAAATGAGAGTAAGAAGCAGTCTAGCAGGGCAGAGGGCAAGAAATAGGAGAGAAAAACCCAATGGAGGCTGGAGAGGTTGCTCTTGCAGAGGACTGGAGTTTGGTTTCCAGCACCCTCATCTGGCAGCTCACAATAACCCGTAACTCCAATGCCAGAGACTCTGCTGGCCTCCTCAGACAGACAGACAGACAGACAGACAGACAGACAGACAGACACACACACACACACACACACACACACACACAGAGAGAGAGAGAGCCCAAACAAAACTAAGCCAAAATCTTTAAAAAACATAATAAAAAAGCATAGTAGACCACATAGAGTAAAAGACAAAAAAAAAAAAAAAAAAAAAAAAAGGCTCGGGTGTGGGATGTGGGAAGCATCGAGCAGCGTTTGGACAAATGTGTGAAGCAGATGGACAAACAAAGGAGTGATGGCCAGTTCTCCAAGACTCACCTCGTCTACATGATCTGACTCCCTTGTCAGGGCCACACCCGAAAAAGTGCAAGGGTCCCCATAGCAAGTCAGGGATGACACAATTCCAAAGAAAGTAAGGATTCGGGGCAGTGCAGTTCCTAGGAGGGCCGAACTCTTTTGCATTTGTATGTGTGTAGCTTGAGAACAGTCCTCAAAGACACCCTCGGATCCCTGCAACCTGTGCCTGTTGCCTGTATAATAAAGAGGGGGCTTTGTAGACATAATTAAGTTAAGGATCTTGAGATCTGTGTTATTCTGAACTGTCAATCTTACATGTAATCACAAGTGTCATAAGAGGGAGGTAGGGAGTGAGTCTTATAGACGAGAAGACAATGCATGATGGATGTAAGAAAAAAGTGTGTCAAGACCCACAGCCATAGGCCACGGCCAGGGGACTTGGACTTTCCCCAGATCTACTAGAAAGGCAGGAGTCTTGCTGACATCTGGATTTCATTCCCACGACACTGACTCTGTACTTCTTGGTCCCATATCTCTGTTGGCTCAAGTCACCAAGTCTGTGGTAATTTGGTACAGCAGTTGTAGGAAACTGATGCAGTGTGAGAGTTTGGCTAGGGTTATCTGAGAGAAACCTCAGTTTCTTCAGCTGTAAAATGGAGGTGTTAGGTCTTATGGTGGGTTGGCTGGGAGGTTGAAATGAAGAAGCTTATGGGAGAACATGTCATTAATTGTAACAGTCTCTATACACATGTGAGTTCACAGTGTTCTCAAAGGACATTTGTCATGATGGCATTTAAACCATATTTGTCCTGGACACAGAGGGCCCTGACTAAAGCCAAAGGTTCTCCTGAATATACAGAAACTGGTAATGGCAGGAGATGGAGAAGAGAGGAAGGGGAGTGAGGGTGAACCCTTGGACCAAGGTGTCTTCTTGTCACAGAGCACCTGAGACTTAGCCTGGCTGAGAAGAAGGCTTCCAAAATTTAACCTGCATCATCAGTAGACTGGGCTAGGCTATGTGTTAAGTGTCCCCCAAAGAGTAAAGCAGCCCCTGAAAACTTTGTTGCCTGGAAGGAGGGGAGAAAAGGAGCCAACAGTTAGGGATATATTTCTTTTTTCTTTTTCTTTTTTTTGGTTTTTCAAGACAGGGTTTCTTTGTGGCTTTGGAGGCTGTCCTGGAACTCACTTGGTAGTCCAGGCTGGCCTCGAACTCACAGAGATCCGTCTGCCTCTGCCTCCCGAGTGCTGGGATTAATTGGAGACAAGGATAAGCAAAACTTCTTTGATAAAACTGGGCATGGTGGGCCAGAGATGTTACTCAACTGTAGAATGCTTTGCCTAGCATGTGCAAGGTCCTGGACTCAATGATCAGTGATGTAAACGAGCTGAGTGTGGCGGTACATGCTTGCAATCCCAGCATTTGAAAGCAGGAGGATTGAGGTTTAAGGCCAGCCTGGGCTATACGTGGAGTCTGCCTAAAGACTGATCCAGACATCCAGATGTGGTGGCACATGCCCATAATCCTAGCACTTAGGAGGTGAAGCAGGAGGATCAGGAGTTTAAGGGCATCCTTAGTGATATACTAAGTTCAAAGTCAGACTGGATTATCTGAGACTGTCTCAAAACATAAACAGATGGGCTGGAGAGATGACTCAGATGGTAAAGACAAGTTACTACATAACCATGAGCACAAGAGTTAGGATCTTGGCACCCAGGTGAAAAACCAGCACCCCGCAAATGCCACCTCTGAGGGAAGCCTTCCTCTGCCACTGTGAAGTCACAGACTCGGGGAGCTATCATATCTACATACATGTGTACACACACACACACACACACACACACACACACAAG